ACGTGGCGGCTAGCGATTGGCTTGCTAGCCGTATAAAATTCTGTGCGACTTCCGCCCAAGTCGGAGAACTTTGAGCACGCTGCAGAGTGCCTTTGAAGATTCTTGACTTGTGGCTGAGCTGGTCGATAGCCTGATCACCTATCGATCCTTCTCCCCATCGCCAAGCGCCATCCTTCGACATACCCTTTCCCTGCTGGCCTGACTCGTGTACGGATTCGCTGGCCTGAGCTTTGCCAGCTGGAACAACTCGTGTAGTTGTTTAAGCGACCGGACCACCTGCGTCGCGGCTACTAGCGGCATAAGTAAAGTTTTTTGCAACCAATACGCTTTGTCTGCCGCTCCATTCACCAGCCCACCCAACGACCAAATAATTTCTAAATCACCTCAAGTCAGCCCCTGCTGTCTGAAACATCATGATGTGTTTAAAATAAGAGGTTTAAAACAAGCAGTATGTTTACTTCTAACAAGACACTTACTGCCCCTCAAAAATTATACATTCTTGACTTGAAGAGAAAAGAGAAATTACTAGAAATGCCTGTCCTCACATTCTATTCTATATCACTTCATCACAATTCACCTGATGTCTACAGCAGTGCCAATACCTGACAAGACTAACAACTACTGACTGTAGAGCTATGCTGTATTCCCAGAGCTTTTTAAAATTCAAGATAAATTAAGGCAAACTGCTACAGTAAAAGTACTTTTCTACATTCACTAGGAAGCGCTTGTTATTTCTTTTATTTGGGTCTTCTGACAAGATTTAAAGTGTGACCCTTCTTCCAAAAGAGTCTCATCTCAAAGATCTCTATTCCAAAGTCTTAACTCTTTCTAGCTAATCATACAACACCTGAACTTGTATCACATGGTTTAATCAGCACAAATAAGAGTGTACTAACTTATGCAGTTTCTAAAGAATAGATTAATTTTTAGTTACCAGAATGCAATCTATCATAGTCACTTAAAGAAGTCTTTAAAATAATTCCAGTGATTTGTGGAAAATTCATTTTAACAAAGCTGATTCTGAGATTAGGCAAGCAAGTTAAACAAAATTCAGGCCTAAAAACACACCATCTTTTTTCTGTCTTTTCATTACACAGCAATTCTCCTACATATACATTTCAAGGCAAGAGTTACCAAGAGACTATACCATAGTTTTTTTTAAATTTCCCTTTTAAATGTTAAGAAGTAAACAGAGGCATCATAAACTAGCATAGAACCCAGGACTTGCAGCCACTATTTTTAAGAACAGTTTTTCCATAGCCCTCTTGTGTAGCTTTAGGTAAATTACTTAACCTCTCTATTATCTTATAAGTAACACAGGCATAATTGTATACTGACCTATCTTCTTTCCCTCAAAGCCCATTTTGATCAAATTGCTCACATTTGACAAATATAATGTAAATGAAAAGCACTATCCTAGCTGTATTATAAAAATTTACTTTTAAAAACAATTACAATTCTAGCAGTTTCCTTCCCCTAATTTTTATTACTCACTCACTCACTTCTAGCTTTTATATTTTGCTCTTACAGTATGTTTAACACACACACAAGAGCAGGAGGAAAACTTGAAAACTATTATTAACTTATTTCTTTAGCAATTCCACAAAAAAAAAAATCAGCAGAATTCAAAACATGGTACACAACTCTATTCACTTCTGGCACAAATGGCTAAATATGTTATTATTTCTACTCCTGAGTTTATACAAATGAGTATTATTTGTACTCCTGAGTGTAGTAAACATGCATAAATCTTTATAAACAGAGAATGCAAAGCATAGCAAACAAAGGAAGCTGTAAAGGGTTGGCAACATTCAATACTTTGGACCACTGAGGGAAGACCAGGTGAAAGAATGAGTTTTAAGGGGAGATTTTAGAGGCAGAACAGAGGACAAGAGGAAAAGAAATTTATTCCCAGAGTTGCATAATAAAAAGTCAACTTTTTTTAAAAGAATAAAAAAAATGTACAAGTCAATATCTGTTATTGAAAAAAAAAATCACACCCTATATAAATAATATTACCTGTTCACATTCCAATGCTTGCTAACATAAATAACATACGTGCCACAAAGGGCAAATGGAAATATAACAAATCAACAACGGAAAAATTAATAAGTTATTTTCCTAAAACCAGCTATGGTGGGTTTTATTTTTTTCATGCATTTGTTACCTTTGCATGATCAATTCGAGTAGAAAGCTCCTTCGATGCAAATCCACCAAAAATGAGGCTATGTATAGCTCCTATTCTTGCACATGCCAACATAGTAAGCATTGTCTCCGGAATCATGGGCATGTAGATGACAACGCGATCTCCTTTCATCACGCCATGTTTAACCATAACATTTGCTAACTTGGAGACCTGCATAGGCAATTTTTTTAAATTAATGTTAAACTTCTATCAAGTACATAATTACATAAATAAATTAATCACTTTTTTGCTTTAGAGTCTCACAAAAACATTCCCATTTAAGACAGAAGAAAGCGATACTGAATTGAAAGATCCAGCACAGTCAATGAATTTAGATCATCTTGAAGGAAAAAAGAATACAGCAAAAGCTGTGTTATCCAGCATCCATGGGGAATGGGGGGTGCCAGTTAACCAAATATGCCGGTTATCTGAGAGGTGTTTTTGCCTGTTCAGGCCATCGCCCCTCCTTCTGCATCTGGTGCGCCAGGGCTCTCACTCCCTGGCGTCAGTGTGCCAGGGGACAAGGAGGGGAGCCCACACAGGCTGCTTTGCCCCAGGCCATGGCAAATGAGGAAAAAGTGGGACTCAGCGAAACTGGAAGTGCCACAGTGGGTCTTCCGGTTTCACTCTTGCTGTGTCGATCAACATGCCGGATAATGGAGCATTCCGGATGGTAAAGTGCCGGATAACACAGCTTTTACTGTATATATCTTCTTCTGTAAAATGAAATCTTATCAAAATAAATTGGGATTAGTTGTTTTGGACAACAGAATAAATAAACCATATGCAACAAAATGTTTTACAGATTATCAAACTATTCCATTCTAGTTAGCTACTTATATTTCTTTGTTCTAATTCATTAACAAGTTTATATAAGACTTATACAACATAACTGTCTAGCAGGTAAGATTTATTGTGTTTATCTGACTGACTATGTTCATCTGTTTAAATTAAACAGGTATTTAAAAGAAACAGGAAATATGAGATTTCTTCATACTACAAAATGAGCCTTACTTACCTATATTTAATAAAGTCAAGAGATAACGTTGTGCCAAATGCATCTCCCAATTTTTGCCTGGTGGTTCCCTAATTTCTATGTATTTCAGGCAAAAGGTCTTTCACATTGTGCCTGTTCAATCAGCCAAATCAAGTCCAATAGGACACATTTAATTTCAAAGGCTCTTCTTTCTCTACCTCCAGAGTATTTAAAATGCAGCTCTGGCTCCTTCTGACTCAGACTCTGGCCTTTCAGTCCCCAAACTTCCTTGACTGTTCAATGGCCCTAACTCAAGGTGCTGGCTTCCAGTTCAGCTCCTGAAGGAGGAATTTCATCTCTGTCTGGGGAGAACAAGGACAACCAGAAGTTCCAAGCAGCAAAACAGAAAGCTCCTCTTCTATAAAAGCATATATTGGGGCAAAGACCATCCACCCTCCCTTGTCCACTGTCATACCTATTTCAGGCTCCTCTTACAAGGACTCAGATGCATCTCCTCCAAAGGATGAGTACTAAGCCCACCTGAAGAATCAACATTCAAGTCCTGTCAATTCATAGATTCATTGATCGTTAAAGTACTAGAAGGGACCTCGCAAGAACACTGGGTCCAGCCCCCATGCACTAGGCAGGAAAGACAACTGGGGTCAGATGATCCCAGCAAGATGACCGTCCAGTCTCCTCTTGAAGATTTCCAGGGTAGGTGATTGGACCACTCTGGAGGGAGTTTATTCCACAGTCTGGACACCCTAACTGTGATAAAGTCTTTCCTAA